TCGGCGGGTTCTTCGTCGTGTACATTGCTAGCGTCGCTACCCTTGAATTGCTTGATCTGGCTGAGGAACACAAAGTTGCTGCGCTGCAGTACGTGGAATACCTGACGAGATATCCGTACTTTCTCCGGGTCTATGGGATACGCCTGGTTGAATTTGACTTGATACATGGGTTGGTGCGTCGGACCAAACGTTTCGTAGATCTGAATAGCACAGTCAAGTTTAGGATAATCCAAACCCATAGACAGATGGAGAGACGTACGTATCCTAAAACTTTCCGGTCTTCAAAGACAAGCAAAGTATCAGAGTCAAGAGCTCTCTCGGAGGCCCTGAACGAGAGCGCGTCGGACGCGCCCTTCACTATGACCACACGATCCGTGATATTCATCACCTCCCCGACTCTCTCCAGCTCCTCTTCCGGACCAACTTCTTCAATGTCTGGTACGTTGATTTGGGCTTCGACGATTTCGTTTTTGGTCTGGAAATATTTTCCTGTGGAGGCGACGGGCCCGGACTCGTCGTCGTCGTCCACATCGAGGTCGTCCGCTTTGCGGTGGGGTGCGGGGTCGGGCTCAGAGTCCGAGTCGCTTGAGTCCGAGTCCGAGTCGGACTCGGAGTTTGAGTCTACAGGTGCTACACTGATGCAAAAGAATGTATGAGTATAAACGGAGGAATATAAGTCGGAAGGACGTACGGTGGGAGGGGGGTTGCATCATCCTCGGTTGTTGTTGGTGCGAGTAGTCCCTCCTCGACTTCCGCCTCACTAGCAGTGTCGTCGTCGTCCGAGCTGGAGATCGAGTCCTCTGGCTGTGCCCGCGGCGGCGGAGGCACCTCGACGGGTACTTTTCCGACCAAGTTTTGAATTAACAGGAGATCCTGTGGTACATTTTCTGGCACCTTGAATGCGGGCCATGCGTCCATATCGTTCGATACAGCAGATATTTGATAATACACGGAGGAGGGACAAGATGAAGAGAAAGCGGAGAATCCTCGATCGCGAGTCGCGTCGTGAAAAATATTTTTTGTTTCGTCACGCGTTTCCACTTTCGAATCCACCTTTCCCCTGGGTCACCATGTTCAGATTCTCCGCACCAGCTCGCACAGCGCTCCCCAAACCCAGGCTCTACTCCACCGACGTGCCCAAGCCCTCCATCAAACTCGTCGCCGAGCTGCGCAAGCGCACCGACGTTTCCATCAACAAAGCCCGGGAGGCCCTCAGCGCATCGAGCAACGATGTCGACGGCGCGCTCGCCTGGCTGCAGAAAGACCTCGTCACCTCCGGCGCAGCGAAGGCCGCCAAGGTCGCAGGGCGCCACGCCGGCGAAGGCGTCATCAGCATATGCGCATTGTCCCGCGGAACCGGGTCCGCGACGGGCATGGGCAGCGTCACCGCAGCCATGATCGAGCTGAATTGCGAGACGGACTTTGTCGCGCGCAACGAGCTCTTCCGCAAGCTCGCGGCCGATATCGCGCATACCGCTGCGTACATGCCCCCGCCGGAAACGTCCTCCTCCAAGCAGCTCATACAGCAACATTCCCGCGCAGCGCTGCACGACGCACCGTTGATATCGCAGGACAGCCCGGGGGACGCGTCGCCTACGGCCACTGTGGGAAGCGCAATCCGCGACACCATCTCGAAGGTCGGCGAGAAGATTGAGCTCCGGCGGGCCCTCACGGTGCAGCAGCCCGACGTGCACGCGCATAGGTCCGATGTCGGCCTCCGCCTCGCCGCATACGCGCACCCGAACGCGACCCATGGCCGCATCGGCGCCCTTGCGCTGCTGGCCCTACGGTCACCACGGCTTCCGGCTGCACTGGCATCGCCCGGGTTCGCGGAACGGCTCGACAAACTCGAGCGGTCGCTCGCGCGGCAGATCATTGGGTTCGACACGCGGAGTATCCGACCTGCGTCTGGGGCTGCGGATGAAAGCGCGTTGTATGAGCAGCCGTTCGCGATGTATGGGGGGGAATTTGCGGACGCGCGCGTCGAGGCGGTGCTTCGCGACTGGGCACTCGGTGCGGAATTGGTGGATGTTGGCAGCGAGGAGACGGGCATTGAGGTTCTCGAGTTCGCGAAATGGACTGTCGCTGAGCCTTTAGAACACGACAGCGAATGAGGATCTGCGCATAAAAGTGTACGTCCCCCTTTACTTACCATGACACGCAGTATAGGCCACTTACGACTTCGAGCAGAATTTATTTCGACATACACCCCACTCACTCATGTCCCTCATACCTGAAAGGACCTACATCTCGCATGTCTAATATAATCTAGGTTTTCTGCCAGCGGAATGCTCACGGCGTCCAAATGAAACCAAAGATGAATGAAGCCCTAAGATGCATATATTACATGTTTCTACATCGCTCTCCGTACCATGTGTTGGATACGACAGAGCATACATTAAATTGTGATCCTTGCCCATGGAGAGAAGAAAAAGGAAGTCGGAGCTTTGGCATTCGCACATGCGCGACTACTGCACTTTAACAGCACGTACGCGGCGGACGTGGGGGAGTACGCTTGTCCATCCGAGTGTGTAGTTGCGGTAGTCATCCTTGACGCAGAGCGTCCTGGGAGGACAGGTTAGGCTTGTACATAACCTCACATCAGAATGGGATGGCTCACAGATCTGGATGGTAAAGGGGTCAATTTGAGAAGGAACGTTTACGATAGATAGATAGGAGACTTACATGTGGTAGCGAGAAGCATTAGGTATGTTCCAATTCCCTGAGAGAAGCGATAAGATACTAATTGAATGCGTGGATCGACATAGCTACTTACAGTGAAGAGATGCCACCAAGAGTGTCCTGCAGCGGAAAAAATCACGTACAGCTCAGATTGATAAACGAGAAGCAAAATTGCCAAGAATCTACCTTCCAGTAAAAAGGCGGGAGGCCATCCGATCGAGGTTTTCCACTGCGTCAGTGTATCACAAAAGATATTGTCCAGGTTCCACACGAAGAATCCGAGGATAAAAATCGCAGCGCCAGTGAGGTAAAGGTTCTCTATAGTGGCCGTCGTGCGCGCTCGCGAAGGATTGGATGACGAACGGAGAAGGTAGCTCGAACGCCCTACAAGGGCGAACATGATTGCCCCGAAAACAACCTGGTGATATACGGGGTTCCGGTACATCATGCTAGGGGGTAAATTAGCTCAAAGGTGGACTTGATAGATCCTGTCACGTACTAGCTCCATGTGAATAAAGCATCGAACAGGAGAGTGGCGCCAAGGAGAGCTTTTCCGTGTGGTGACCGCCGCATGGAAAATCCAGGGGATGTCTCGAAGAGGAGATACAATGTGTACGTCGCCACATATATCATTGGTAACTCGTCAGCCAGTTGTGCGCGGAAGAGCAGCGTTGCATGGAATGCGAAACTGCCAAATCCGATCATAGCAAATCCCTGAAATATGACTAGTTCGGAGCGATTTCCTGCGGGACAAGAGGATATTTCACGTACTGCAAACGATAATAGGTATCGGGACGGAAGAGATTCCTTATGGGCTTGACGGATCCCATGCAGTGCTAGGCCTATCGAGAAGAGGTTCGAGTATGTATTGGCCATCTCGGCGATATAGTGGGAGAACTGGTAATTTGCCTGCGAATGCACGTAACACATGCACTTAGTCAGTGCGATATAGTACCCTCAGGAGCCCAACACACCTCGCACCAGTCCAGCGTCGCAGTGACTGGACCCCAGTTTCCGAACTTCGAAACATCTGCGGTGGATGTGAAATTTGACATCTCGTGCGATACGGACGGTGGTGGTAAGAAAAAGAGAGATATGGTTTACTGTACGGCGTTTTGACGGCTTTCGGTGCTCCCTATCCAGCCCGGGCTGCTTACTGACATCGACAGTCCCGCCGTATACCGGCATCCTGGCACGTGGCATCGGCATTTGGGTCAGCAATATTCTGTAATCGTCTTCTGCGTGTACTCACCGTCAACATTCACCGTGCGCTTGAGTTTCGCCATGTTTTATGGTATGTTCTCCAAGTGACATGGACTTTGCTATTCGCTGACGTTGCGAAGCCGGGGCAAGCCCTTCATCGGGTGACAGGATCGAGATTGCATATAGTCGCGGACAATCAAAACTCTAAATCTGCCAAGATCAGGGAAAGTGGAACCATTTCACTTTTGACTGCATGACAATATTTCAGCGAATCGTTGGTCCAACTCTCGTCGTCGACTGTTATTCGAGCCTCTAATCCTCTTCAGATGAAAGTCGACGGGCATGACTGCGGTATGCCTCCAGTACTACTTCCAGCATGCACTCACTGTCTAATATGCCGCTTTCTTTGTATCCCCAGAGTCTCAAGTCCTTCAGAACTTTCAAGGATGACGACTACAAGATCAGAACAGACAAGTTTTGAGTTGAGTGGAAAACTTGGGCATCTAAAGCTCGTACGATATGAGCACGGGCCCTTCGGTCCTTCGGTCCTTCGGTTCCATACACCGTTCAGATGGCAGTTTGTGCTCTGGCCCCTCCGGTGCGTAGCCCTTTGACTGTTAGCGGAGCGTTTAATCGAGGTGCACTACGACTGTCTCTGACTTGACCGTATCAAAACAGCGCAGATGCTAATACATTTTCACACCGCAGAACACAGACACGGAGCATCTGCGGAGCCGTCAAACCGAGACTGCGGCATAGGATCGGACCTGCCGTGGTACGTGCACCTTATGCACTACGCTAATACGATACCTTTGTAGACAGACCTGGACCAATCCTCTTGGCATTGGCACATCCGTATCGCTCTACGTCCCGGGCTTAACATGTTTACTTTCTCATGCAACTGATCTGCATGTCAAACGCACTCGAGTAGCACATTGATGAGATTGCATCAACAAGTGTGAAACCCCAGCACCTGAATGTCTCGGACTGTGTAATTGATACATGAATCTACGCAGTGGTATCTCTCGCCGGGCCCGTCAGGCCTCCGTCTGGTCCATCTTTCCTTTAAGAAATACTGGTGCCGTGATATACAACCTTAGGGGAGGAAACGTTACGTCTCAATAGCTCAGTGGTAGTAGCGTGCGATTGCAGTTTGCACTGTATCGCAATGTCACGTGTTCGAACCACGTTTGGGACTGGTGTTTTTGTGCCAGGGCGATCCAACTTTTTGCACGAACCGCAAGTGTAAGCTTGTTAGTAGCTCCGAGCCTTGGAAAGTTCAGGTCGATGGAGAAAATTAGTTTTTTTTCAACGCTATATACTACTGTATCAGGATGTTGACACGGAAGAGGATCACATATCAACCGGAAAGACCGTCTCCTGCCAATAAAGAAAGCATAGCTCCTAAGACAGGATTGTTTCCCTGGGAGTTCAACATAGTCCCATCCTCGATGCACCGCTGTAGCTGTGCATCTAACAGGCGTCTGAGTATGCAAATGCATCGTTAGCTCGTAGGAGCATATGAAGAAGGCTGCCAACATGCTCACCGTAGCTGATTGACCAAAATTCCGATTCTCGGCCATGCTTTAAGCTTTATCCAACTGTCCTTGGTGCCAACCGTAACACCGCCCGCGATATGATTTACGGACACGGTACCTCCGAACAACAGGAGCGCGTATAATGGAACCTGCAGCGGTCAAGTCAGAATCTTGGCCTGCGGAAGGAGGTGCCTGCGTACCTCCGTGGCATCCCTCAAGAACACTTTAGTAGTCGCGTGCTTCGAGAAATACGCCAGAAACGGCGATTTCCACGCTGCGGCGCCAAACAGAACCGACCCAGGGTGCAAAAAGACCCTCCCCTCGCGCAGATCGTACATCTTGAACTCCTTGGCCACATTCTCCCGCTGCACCGTGCCCGCCTGCACCTTATCGAACTTGATGGCGGACTTGGGTAGGTGTACGCGCGCGACTCGCGGCCACAGACCGCCAAGAATGATGGCCTTGACGAGATTGGTGACGCCGGAGTTCGTGTTGAGTTCAGGCGATGATGGCGTTGACGAGAACGGGACGAATCCGAGGTCGGATAGGGAGGACAGGAAGTCTTGCCGTAAAGAGTTTATGTCGCGGATTGTATTGGCGTTTATAAAATTCTGAGGGCGATCAGGAACGATGAAATTGTCGTTGACTGTCAGCGCACTCACTTCTTCACAGAAACTACGGATAGCGCTTTGCGGTTTCCCTTCTGTTCGGAGGCGCGTGCACGCGTCGTAGGCCTGCAAGTCTGTCAGGAGATCACTGCCGCCGGTGGCAAAGCGTGCTCTGGCTCTATGATTTCAGGTGATAAGCGGATTGAATTTCTATCACTACATTGGACTTACTGTGATGCCTCCTCCCGCTTATCCATGGGACTGACGAACAATGGCTTCGACGAGAGAGAGGCTGCGACGGTAAGGATAGGTCCAAGGCACTGAAACACTGTGCCTAAGACCAACATCTAATTCGGTTGAGCACCATTTCATCGCTCCGTTCGCATGTGACATACCTTAGCTAGTCTTAAATCAACTGGGAGCACAGACTGAAAATTTTGATATCAGCAGGGAAAGAGGGAACAGAATCAATATGCGCACAATGTGTCTGCCCAGTGCCGTGAGTTTGCCGCTTTCATCCACCGCACCCAGCTCTTCGAGGATTGACCAGGCCTTTTCCATGGCAGCGATCTTCGGCGGGTCAATAGCTCGACTTAGGAAGAGCTAGAGAAATACATGAGAGACAAGGATATAGACCTCGGGAGATCGACTTACCTTTACATCTTCCTCTTCACGCATTACTTTTACAGTCAGAGAGATACTTTCCAGCGGCACGCGAAGGATCTCCGGGACAGGGAATCTAGGCATCTGTTCCTCCCGCTTCCGTGTATATAGCTTGTAGCATGTGCCAGGCTGGGTGCGTCCCGCACGACCTCTCCGCTGCCTTGCCGCAGCGCGGGTAACGTACGACTCGACGAGGCGTGACAAGCTGTTCTCCGGGTCGTATTGCGTCTCTTTGACCTTGCCAGCATCTATAACATATATAACATCGTCGATGGTGATTGATGTCTAGGAAGGATCAGAGACGGGGCGCCATTCGGGGACAAGATTGAAAGTTCTACCTCTGCAACATTGGTAGCGGCGATAACCTTCCATTTAGAGGTCGGAGCGAAGACTCGTTTTTGCTCCTCGTTGGAAAGATTAGCATGGAGCGGGAAGATCTCGGCTTCGTTGGACGCAAATCCACTGCGCAGTGCATCGATGCACTGGCGAATCTCCTGCACACCGGGCAAAAAGATAAGAATACCCCCTCGTTTCGGCGCTGTAGAGGTGATATGTCCAACAACAGCAGCAACGAGCTAATGCATAACGCGTCAATACCGTAGTGTGTATCGCACCTGGGATATAACTCAGCGTACCTGAAAGTCGATTCGATCTGACCGACTGATGTTTTGAATGGCGTTTACACTCGGATCGTCGAGCCCTTTCGACTTGAACTCGTCTCGGAAGGCTCGTTGTTCTGCATCGCTTTCTTTTTTCCCCGGCTTCGTCATCGGAGGGCGGTACTTGATCAACGGGATAACGTCCTCGAGATATCTGTGCGAATAGATGATAAATGACTAAGACACTGAGATATTCTCAGCCCCACTCACATATCGGTAACGGGGTGTGTGAATCCAGGTATTTCAAGCAACGGAGCACCGTTGAAATAACGCACGAAAGTTTCATGGTTTATGGTGGCGGACATGAGGATAACTTTCAACGTGGAATGGCGTTTGAGGAGCTCCTTTAACTCGAGAAGCAAAAAATCTCCATCGACCGAGCGCTCGTGTACCTAGTCGTTGTACGAGATAAGTATCAAGTAAAACATGATAGAGATACAACCGCACCTCGTCTACGATTACATGGGTGATGCCATCGAGACTATCCCCTGAGCCAAGACGTCTCAAGACAACACCCGTGGTACAAAATAAGAGCTTTGTCCGCGGGGTTTGTATGCTCTCGCCACGAATGGCATATCCTACAGACCCGTCCTCGAGTCGTTCCGAAGAAACGCGAGCTGCGACTGAGATAGCCGAGATCCTTCTAGGCTGGGTGACGACGATAGACGCTGTGGAACCGCGGTTTGATAATATCAAGGAGTCCAGGATAAATTGCGGCACTGTTCGCGAGAGACATTAGCGCTCTCATGTCAAGCATTGAGTTGTCCGCTCCGACTGACACTGTGTCGTCTTTCCGCATCCTGTTTGCTGGATTCAGATCGAAGCCACTGTATCCAAGATAAGTGCACAGGACCGACCTGTTTCACCGACTACAACAACCACGCGACTGGATTCGAGTTTTTCAAGGAATTGATCTTGTGCAGAGAATGCTGGAAGTTTCTTCCGGGCATCGTATACCTTTTTGTACTTATCGCTTTGACATAATGCTTCAAATTCCGCTTTTATCTGGCCGTCAGAGCGAGGGTCACGGCGGGGCGGGCCCCTCTTCCTCCTACCATCCCCGAGGCCTGCGGCTGCGTTGCCTACAACAGCTTGGTCGACAGTCGAGTCTACTCGCTTGCGGGGAACCAGATGCTGAAGCACAGTAGAGATGTCTGGTGGTCCGTTCGTTTCGATTGCGGCCCACTCATCCTCTAGAACCCGCATGGATGCCATGAGCAATCCCTCCCCTGTTTCGACTAAGGAATCGGCTTGAATTTCCCGAAGAAGTTTGGCCAAAAGATGCAGTCGTACGTATGCAGGAACCGAGTCCGAGGTGATGTACATAGGCGGCGCGACGATGCCTGCGGGGTATCCATTGGAGGAGAGGACCAGATGAAGTTTGACTGGGGCGCTGAATAGTGTCATGACGAGATGCGAAGGGTCGAGGTATGTTGCCCCCAACGCCTCAGTCTCCTCCTCGGTGATGTTATACTTCTCGGAGAGTGATGTCGAGCTCGATTCGCCGTCGAGCAAGTCTTCCAAATCACCGCCAATGAGTTTCCTGCCGAGCGCTGCAATCAAGAGTTCCCAGCTTCCAAGCAGCCGTGTATCGGTTGTGCACTCCTTGACAACATGTGATGGCCAGCCAGCCTCTTTGACGGCTTTGTCCTCTATCCAGCGTTTCTTTAGATCGTCTATTCCGGAATGCGCAGAAGTGACAAACGGATTGGAAGAATTAATGGCGGGCAGGAAGCGCTGAGGAAGGTCGCACTCGGGTACATGGAGGACTAGATATTCTATGGCGGCCTCCAAAGTGGATAAAGATCCCAAGAGATTCGAAGCAAGCGCGGAAGGCTGGGATAGAAATTTGACAGCTTTTTGGGCTTGAGCTGCGTGGAAACCAAGGTGTCCAAGCTGTTGCATTATCTTTGGGGCGCTGTCTTCGGATATGACTGCTGGGGCCACGTCCCCAGCTTCCGGGTAAAGCGATAGAGCCTGAGGTATACAAAGTCAATCCCAATATTATCGATACTGTATGGAACCTACGACTCTCACCTTCTTTACAGCCTCCTCGACCATTTCACGCAAGCCGGTCGCCATTTTGACCTCGGGTGCCTGGGCAAATTCACCAGAGACCGGAGCATTGCGCGGGTGAGCGTCGCTTGATGTTTCGCCTGTTGTCCCGCTCGCTTCTTCCCGCTTTTTGGATGCCTTAGCCTGACGCTCATCCACAGCCTTACGGGCGGCGAACGGATCTGCATCGTACATCCAGCTCATGTGTTCGGGCGCGCCTTTGTGTTCTGCGGCGAGCTCAGTCCAATATTCACGAGGACCAGGCGGTAGGACACGGTTTAGCTGCATGCCATTGCAAAACTGACGAATTCACGATTTAATAGTGTGTCAATATTATCAATCGTAGACATGAGTTCACGAACACGGTATAGAGCATACGTAGCACCCCAATGGCGTGCCTCCACCGCTGTTGGCCTCAAATAGGGAGGATGCGGCTCCAATCGAACAATTTCTCGCGTCGAATTCTTTTTGTTCAGCCGCGCGAGAGTAACCACAAACGAAAAGCCATCTTTCTGTCGTCGCTAGATAGACCAATACATATCCGTTAGTAATTTACAGATATAGGAGAGCATATACACGCACCGCATCTACTATGGCTTTCTCCCATCCATTTTTCTGGCACCTGTCCTCAACAGTCAGTAGCAGTCCGGTGGGTGAGGGCCTTTGGGCCGCACT